GGGGGTGCTTCCTGGGGCTACTGAGAGGGGACATTTTCTCATCCCCCTGCCTCCCGGCCCCCTCTCCAGGAGAGCAGGACGCTGGATTCTTGCTTACTACACTACATATGCATACCCTGCCGGCTGAAGATGGAAGGGGAAGAACTTAAGTCCTGATTCCCAGTTCTGCCGCGAACTGACAGGTGCAGGACTGGTCTGCCCTCCAGAATCTGGGGTATGTGGTGATACCTCTCACTACCATTTAAACCATTGTGTTCAGTTTTCAGGGTGTGTGTCGGGAAGCTGGCACACTCCAGCACATGCTTGGGGTAGCAGATCTAAGCTGGTAGGGACAGCCACAGTAAAACTCACAGCCCACTGGCAGCTTGCCCAGAGCTTCTAGGAACACGGAGACGGCCTCCCTCCAGAGCAGAGGACAAAGGTCCAGGGGCAATGGGCTGTGTGTTGGCACTTAGGGACCGGAAAGAGCACCAGTTTTACACCACGGGTCAGCTTCAGACGTCATTCACTCAGTTACTCATTACACGTCTGTAGACACTAGGTAAGCTGTAAGGTCAAACAGGTGTGGAGGCGACAGGGTGCCTCTGCCAGGGGCCCTCCCTCCCACTCTCACCAATCCCCTTCTTGGTGCCATCCCCACCCCTCTCCCAGCTAGACTTAGGCACCATCTGTGTCAGGGCTGGATCAGGCCCAGTGTGGACGTGGGAGCTGAGGGAGCACACTGAACCTGGCCCCCCTCTCAGCAACGGGAACGGTAGACCCCAGCCTGTTCCTGCTCACCACGCCCACTCTGAGCAGATGGCCCTACCCGGCCCTACCCAGGTGCACTGATCCATTCGGGAGCCACTCCACGCTCAGGCGCTGGTAGGCACCCTGCCCCCTTGCCAGCTCGCGTATGCCCCTGTGGTTTCACTCTCCTTGCTCACGTGGGGAGCTCACATACACTCTCAAAGCCGCCTTACACAGTCTTTCTTCCATGCGCCTGACTCATCCCCAGCCACGCTTCTCGCCAGGACAAAATGGATCATTTTTTTCTCCCTGTACACTCCACATGGGCTTCAGACACAGCCCTGCTCACTTGGTCTCCAGCACACTTGTTTCTGTGCCTATTTCTCCTGCCAGGACTTCATCCTGAAATCTGTACATGTGACATACAGGAAGCCATCATCAGGTATCTACTGACATGAAATGAGAAGAAATGAAATCATGAAGCCTTTCCTGGGGCCACCGTGTACCCTGCACTGCCTCCACTCTGCCAGAGCCGACAGATTCCGTTTTCCTGGAGTGTGGCCTAGAGGTGGTAGAACCAGCAGAGGAGAGCTCTCTGTCTCTGTGCTTCTCAAAATAGGCTAATTAATTTCAATTGTTGTAAAACTGTGATGATGGCTATGCAACACTGAATATAGTCCAAGCCATCGGATGGGCAAAATGAATGGTGTGTACATTATACATCAATAAAGCTGCTTGACATACTAAGCAAATAAACCCCCAAACAGAGCCAGCCGCAAGCCTCCTTCCTGTCTCCACAGCAGGGATGGCGTCCTGTTTGCCTTGGGTCCCTTTGCCTTCCTGCTCACTGGAATCCTCCCCGCCCGCCAGCAGGCTCGTGTTTGCTCTGCTGCAACACCTCGAGGATGCACTGGGCCCCATGCCGGACTTTTCTCCGTGGTCCTTGCCAACTAGGTCAGAGTCAGGGAGGGGGAAGAGCCCGGCCGGCCCAGCCGCTATTTCAGAGGGTGACAGCAGCAGGGCGTGAGAAGCAGCCACAGAGCCGCCCTCCGTGAGGATCTCTTGGATAGGACTCCAGGCTGCTTTCTGCTGGCTGAAACCTCCACTGCTGACCCCGGAGGTGACACTGGATACCAGGGTGTGGCTGGAAATAGGGAAGCACTTCCACTGGGCAGTGATGGGCCCTGGGAGCCACAGCTGCGAGAACTTGCCTTTCAAATGGCTTCACGCCCACACTTAATCTTCCCACCTCCAGTCTGGGAGGAACAGGGCAGCACTCTGCATTCCTGCTCCACACCTGATGCAGCGCACTCACGTCACCTGCCCACGGTTTCTGAAACGACTTATGTGGCTAAGTGTGCTGGAGTGGGATTTTTAAAAAAGCTTCACGTGGGAGACCTGGATAGTGTTCCAGGCTTCTGGTTTTGGACTGGCCCAGTCCTGGTTATGGCAGGCACTTGGGGAATGAGATCTCTCTACATCTCTCTGCCTTTGAAATATAATGAAAATAAATTCAGAAGAATTCAAAACACATGTTTCGCCAATAGGGGTCTTAATTATGCTTCAATCACACAATGGAATGCCGTGCACATACTAATAAGAATTAGTGATAGTTTAAGAAATGTTGAAATGGAATGGCTACCAAGATGCATTTTTAAGGAGAAAAGCATGATGCAGAACAGTGTGTGACACGCTATTTGTCTAAAAGAGGGAGGCAAAGAGCCCATATATTTGTAGTTGCCTGTATCCAAATAAAACGGCTCTGGAGGACACATAAGACAGAGGTGAGCTGTCAGACCCCAAGACCCTGGGGCTGCAGCTTCCTGCTATTCAGGCTGCATGGGGTTGGCGTGTGAGTCACACTGATAAGACAGCACAGATGGGATGGTGGATTCCAAGGCTAGCCCATGGGACACTGTGGACTTTGTCTTGTTCACCTGGGTAATTCACCAGCATGTCACCAGGACACTCAAGCAGCCCCATGGAGAGATCCACGTGTCCTGCTGACAGCCGCATGGACAAGTCATCCTGGAGGTTTATCCTCTCGCCCGAGCAAGCCTTGAGGTGACTGCGACCCCAACTAAGATTTTACTACGACCTCATGAGACACCCAAAACAGCTCCTCCTCCCCCAGAGGAGCTCACAGGGGCAGATGTGCAGTGGTTAAGCCTCGCACTGGGAGGCCACGTCCCACATCACAATGCTTCTGCTTGAGTCCTGGTTCTGCTTCCCACCCCAGCTTCCAGCTTACGCACGCCCTGGGGAGCAGCAGGTTGGGCCCCTGCACTCACACAGGAGAGATGGATTGAGCCCTTGGCTCCCAGTTTCAGTCTGGCCCAGTCCCAGCAGTTGCATGCATTTGGGGAATAAGCCAGCAGATGGGAGCTCTATTTTTTTTTTTTTAAAGATTTATTTATTTGAAAGGCAGAGTTACAGGGAGAGAGGGAGAGACAGAGAGACCTTCCATTTGCTGGTTCACTCCCAAAATGGCCAAAACAGCCAGGAACCAGGAGCTTCTTCTGGGTCTCCCACTGGGTGCAGGGGCCCAAGCACTTCGGCCATCCCCCGCTGCTTTCCCAGGCACATTAGCAGGAAGCCAAATCAGAAATGGAACAGCTGGGACACGAAAAAGTGCTCATATGGGATGCTGTTGTCACAGGAGGTGGTTTTACCTGCTATGCCACAGCACCGTTCCCTGTTTCTTCGAAGTGCTTTGAGGAGACAATTTATGTAAGTCTGGTGCATTTGAAGACACTGTGGACTTTTAGGAAAATGTTATTGGAAACTGAGAGAAAGGGACTGCAGTTAGGGGAACTGGAGCACTGATGGGCGCAGCTTGCAGCTAGGTGGGCATAAATAGCCTTCCTTTTACCATTATGAATATATATATTTTTTTTGTTTCAAGGACAGAGTTACAGACAGAGGGAAAGAGAGAGAGAGATCTTCCATCCATTGTTTCACTCTCCAAAATAGCCACAATTGCTGGGGCTGCTGGGCCATGCCTAAGCCAGGAGCCCAACTGGAAGTGGGTCAGCCAAGACTCAAGGTGGCATCCATAGGAAACAGCAGCATCACAGGTGGTGAGCACACCACCACCTCACAATGCTGGCCCCTACACAGTGCCTCTTATCCCAAGATGGCTAGCACAGCCTGAAGCCTCCTGGCTGCATTCAAGGATGCAAAACGTTTCCCAGAGGTTCCCAGAATTCTTCAGCTTCTACTTCATTGGCTAAAACTATGTCACCTGATGCTCTTGGCTGCGAGGAAAAGCAATTTTTTTAAAGATTAATTTACTTATTTGAAAGGCAGAGTTAAATAGAGAGAGGCAGAGAGAGAGAGAGAGAGAGAGAGAGAGAGGTCTTCCATCCGCTGGTTCACTCCCCAGATGGCCGCAACGGCTGGAGCTGCGCTGATCCGAAGCCAGAAGCTTCCTCTGGGTTTTCCACATGGGTGCAGGGGCCCAAGGACTCAGGCCATCCTTCACTGGAAAGCAAGTTTTTCTCCTGAGGTTCTCTGATGGAGGGGGCCAAGGAGAAGGAAGACGGGACTTTGACCTTCACCACTGTCTCCTCAAACCCTGGAGCAGCACTGGGGCTCTGAGGTGCTTAATGAGCAGCTGGTGCGACGAACAAATGAACAACCAGTGCTCTGCAGTGCATCCCCAGGTGCCAAGTTAAGAGTCCTGCTTCCTACAATGATTAAAAATGAATCTGATCTGGGCCAGTGTGGCGGTGCAGCAGGCTAAGTTGCCTCTTGTGACACTCACATCCCATGTTGGAGTAGGGGTTCAAGTCCTGGCCACCCTGCTTTCAGTCCGGCTGCCTGCTAGTGTACCTGGGAAGGCAGCAGAAGACAGCCCAAGTACTTGGGTCCTTGACATTCACATAAGAGACCTTGATAGAGTTCCTGACTCCCCAGTGCAGACTGGCCCAGACCTGGCTGTTGCAGCCATTTGGGGAGTGAACCCACGGATGGAAGACCTCTTTTTCACTGTCTCTCCCTTGTTCTCTGTCATTATGTCTTTCAAATAAATCATTTTTAAAATTGAATCTTATGATATCTAGCAAATGCAATGTACATACTATCAGAAATCACTGGTGGGACTGTGGGAGAGATCCGCACTGAGCATTCTTTTTAACTAGGTCTGAGCCGTGCACTTTGAGTCATAAAGGAGTAAACCAGGTATGGACAGGGTGCACTATCACCTTCACAGCGGATCAAGGGCGCGGCTTAGGTGAAGCCGGAAACCACCCACCCAGAATTAGACCCACCTGTCAGGTGATCAACAGCGCTGCAAGCCAGGGCCTGGGCGCGGCTGGCTCCTTTACTGCCAGCCAGCGGGAGGGCAGTAGGTGGGCAGAACCAGGCTCAGCTGTCTTCCCCAGCTGACTGCCACGTGCTCCTCCCTGGAGAGTAGCGACAGGAGGGGAAAGAGGCCGGAGGGAGTGACGCTAGGGGATGGAACGAGGGGAAGGGAGTCTTTCCCAACCCCCCAGGGGTCACGGTCATGTTTCCCTTGCTCCACGCCAGCAGCAGTGCAGCGCCCGGCACCGGAGATGGAAGTGCTTACTGCAAGTCCTCCTGTCTTCCCCACGGCAGGGAAATAACGTTCCCTTCCTCCCTCGACATATGTAGACTTCACTTCTCCTCGGGATTGCTCAATTTCTCTTCCTGTGTTGCAATTCCCCCAAGCATGTGACTCCGGCTTGGCAATTCTCCCCGCGGGGCGGCAGGGACGGTGCAGCAATGCCCTGCACACCGCGTCCCTGCACCACAAACTGCCCTCGCTGGCGACCATGCCCTCCTGCCCCTGCCCCTGTCCCCGCCCAGGGGTCTCCTCGCCCCACCCAGCTCCAGGACCATCCACCTCCCCGGCATGCAGTGCCAAGAGGTGGAGGACTTTCTCTTTTCGCCATCCAACATTTGAACCCCTTTCCTGGGTCTCAGAACTCCCAACTTTATGGTTTTATTGACCGCAAAAGCTCACCACTCCACTAGAAAAAACTGGATCAATCCTTCCCTTTCCCAGCTTCCCCTGCGCATCTGCAGACTGCGCATGTGCCCCAGGCTGGCCAATCAGAGAGGCCTGTGCCAGACTGTGGGGGCGGGAGGCCGCGGGTGATGATGGGAGGTGAGGCTTCCCCAGGATGTGCCCTGTTGGTGGAGGGGAAGGCGGCAGATCTGCGTCGCTGGTACAGCAGGGACAGCCATGCTTGCCGGGGTGCACACCACTGTTTCACGGCAGATACGGTTCCAGGAGAGGCCGTTGATCCAGACTGGGTCACTCTGAACCCAATTCTCAGGCCTTGTGGGTCTGAGCTGCCCATTTACCTTTAAGTATGGAGGGTGGGCAGTTTAGAGAATGAGCTCATTCAGATTCATTGAGGCTTAAATCCTGACTCTGCGTGAGCCAGAGTGACCAAACGCAGGTTCCCACGTACTGCTTAACGCTGCCAACTCAAGGGTTGGGGCCGACTTGCTTTCCCAAGAAGGCTGATTTCTCAGGAGCAGGGGCCCTGCATGTATTTTAGCGGCAGGCACTGTGGCGCGGTGGGTTAATACCCAGCCTAGGATGCGCGCATCCCACGTCGGAGTGCCTGGAGTGGGGTCCCACCTCTTCCTCCAACCTAGCTTCCTACTCATGTGCACCTGGGGAGGCAGCAGGGTCCCTGCCACCCTCATGGGAGGGCTGGATGGGATTCTGGGCTCCTGGCTTCAGCCTGGCCCAGTCCCAGCTGTTGTGGGCATTTAAGGAGTGAGTCAGCAGATGGAAAAATCTCTGTGTCACTCTGCCTTTCCAATAAATAAAAATAAAAAACTTAAATTGTAATGCATTTCAGACCCCTCCCCCCGCCTTCACGGCCCGGTCAGCTCTCCACCTGCATACATAATGGCATGTACACCTGTGTACAGGTAGAACATCTCTGGAAGACACACAGAACCTGAGATACCTCAGGAAAGGCTAAGCCAGGAGCCGGAGTGACACTTGCTCTTCCCTGCGCCTTCTGGAATAAGGAAGAGCTTCGAGAAGCTCATGGGAAATGGAATTAAAATAAAATTATTTTGTTGCAAAAATTTTTGAAATCCTTATAGTGTTTCCATGATGTACACTTTCCATGAACATTTTGAACATGTATGGGTTTCCGAATTTTTTTTGTACCCAAATAGTCTTTTAATTCCATCTGCATATACTTTTTGAAGGACTCCTGTATTTTTCCATGAACATAACAGTACTTTAAAAATGCTGTCTTTATCTGTTTGAGAGAGAGCTAGACTGAGCTCCTTCCTATCTGCTGGTTCACTCCCCAGCTGCTTGCAACAGCTGAGACTGGGCTGGGCTGAAGCCGGGAGCTGGAAACACAACCCGGGTCTCCCCGAGGGTGGCAGGGACCCAAGGACTCAGCTATCACTGCTGCCTCCCAGGGTCTGCATTAGCAGGAAACTGGTGTCAGGACCTGGAGCCAGGAATCAAATTCAGAGTTAGGCCCGCCACAGGGCCTAACCAGAGTCTGGTTTAGCAGCTCTTTTGTGAAACACCCTGGGGCCACTTCAAAACAGGTTTCAGGGCCACCCAGGATCAACCAGATTGGAATTCCCAGGAGAGGCCAGCAGTCTGGCATTCTGGGGAATTTGGCTCTGCTCTGGACCAGGGGCTCCCAAAATGCAGGTGTAGGGGTCCCCCTAGACTATGGAATCAAATGCAGCGAGTGAGGAATGGCCACTTGGTCACCACTCAGCTGCCAGCATGGCGGGGCTAGGAACACAGGTAGACCAGTTCTACCGGTGAGATGCAGAAGAAAACTGGGGAAACAGCGAGAGAGAGCTTCACCGGGTGTGGCAGAGGTCGCACCATCACAGCCTTTGGCCATTCTCGACCCCTCTGAGCAGGGCCTCCTGGCCTTGTGGGAGGCTGGAAAGAACTAGAAGCAAGAGATGAGTCAGAACAGGAGGTCACGGGTCTCAGGACTCCATGGGGCCCACCCGTCTCTCAGGGCTTCCCCCACACTTCCCCTAGGGCTGTCTTCTCCCAGTCCCAACCACCACTTCCTTCCCCCTAAACTGTGATGCCCCCCTCCCCAGTGACCCCTCCTCTCTGGGGTTAGCAGGAGGGTGTGAGTGAAGAGTTGTTGGTGCGTGAGGGAAGGTGGGTGGCTGCCACCAGCACGCCTGGTTTTGCAGGGCCAAGTGTCGTCTTCTGGAGTCGGGCAGGTGCCCTGAGTACAACGTGGTAGCTGGAGGAGACTCCCCGATAGCAGACAGTGCCCGCTGGCCTCCACAGGGACGCTGTCCCAAGCTCCTTTCATTTATCCCACACACATTTCCTCGGGGTGCTGCTCTGTGCCATGCCCACCCCCTGGGGTGGGGGGAGGGGGCAGCGCAGTCCCAGAGGTAAACAGAGTCACAAGTGCCAAGAGGAGCACTCTGGGGCCAGCAAGGCAGCCACTAACCCAGGAGGGTTGGGGGCGAGCACAGATGTCTGGGTTGAGTGTGGAAAAGGCAGCCGGAATTATCGGCCGCAGAGGAAGTTTATTCTGGCTTGAATAAACCAGCCGGAGCGATGAGATTAGAGTGGAATTTCAGGGAGAGAGAAGAGGAGTGTTTACAGGCTCTGGGGCCCAGGCTCTCCCACTGCCCCACCCTGCAGGGGTGGGGGCAGAGAAGGGTAAGGGTGGGGGAGAGGTGGTCAGTCTTCTGATAAAGGGGGCTGGGGAGGAGCAGGAGCAGGTGGTCACTGGCAGCTGTGGGACTGGGCCCTGTCCAGTGTGGGGGCTTCAACCCCAGCAGGCAGAGGGCTGTGTCCGTGCCCGCGGTCACTCATCCACTCCCTCACTCCTTGAACCAGTGGTGAGCGAGCACGCACTGGATCAGATGCAGAGACCCCTGGCCACATGAGACTTCCATTAAAAAAATTCCGTTTTTCTAAAAACTATTTATTCGAAACTCAGGTAGAGAGAGAGCCATGTAGAAAGGCAGAGATGTCCATCCGCTGCCCACACCCGACATGTCTGCGATGGCCAGGGCTGGGCCAGGCTGAAGCCTGGAGCCGGGAACTCTGTCCAGTCTCTGACATGGGCTGCAGACCTCAGCCACGGGGTCATCATCTGCCCGATCCCAGGGTGGAATCGGGCCCTTGGATACGGCATACCAGCATGCCAGGGGGCTCCTTAACTGCTCCCTGTGCCAATGTCCATCCTTCCCCAGCGGAGACAGAACAACCACACAAGTCAGGGGCAGAGAGGAGCAGGACAGGGAGCGGGGAGCAGGGCACCAGTGGGAAGGTGGCTGGTGGGCAGGGCCTGAAGGTGCCTGGGAATGTCGGGGCAATCACATTCCAGGCAGAGAGAACAGCAGCTGCAAGGCTCCTCGGGCATGGCCGTCCACGAGCCCCGAGGCTGCCGTAGGTGCCTGAGCAGGACGTTCGCCGTGAAAGAAACCACCCAGAAGGAGTCGCGGAGCACCAGGCTTGCAGCGCGCGGCCTGGGGTCTACCTTTAGGCAGACTGCTCGGTCTCCCTGAGGCTCAGTTTTGTTGTCTGTACAATGGGAACAACAGTGTTACTACCCTGTGCTGTGCTACATATTTTGTCTAAATAAACGGCAGCTGTTATTCGGGTTATTGTCACTATAAGGTGTACACGTTCGACTTTCAATATTAGCCCTTTCCTAAAGAGGTTTTCCCACAAGACAGATGCCAGATTTATGTGTCTTTTTTTTTTTTTTTTGGTTCTATAAAAATGATGCAGACGTCCACATGTGCTGTATTTGGCTACCGGCAATCACAAACCACACTCTCCCTTCCTCTCTTCAAGGCAGGGGGCTGCAGCCATGCCTCTGGGGCTCCGTCATAGCCCTCCTTCCCCCCCCCCTCAGTGAGCCCCAGAGGAGCCAAGAAGGCGCTGGGTTCAGTGGAGCCCGAATGCGGATCCAGCCCTCTGCAGACGGAAGCAGAGAGTTTCTCATTGAATGGGCGCTTCCTTCCACTTTCTCGGCATTTGAGCAAGCAGAGGCACTGAGCGGTGGAGACTTTCCCAGGGAGTCCTGAGCCTCAGGCAGCAGCAGCCGGCCACCCTTTCATCTCTGGTTTTGGAGACCCCTCAGCAGCTGGCCTGGCGCTTTGGCATGGCCTGGGGTCCCCACAGATCCTGTGTCTGCACCTGTCAGACCCCCATCTGGGCCTGACCAGCCAGGCCAGGCAACGGATGCCCTACCTGACCCAAGTGGTTGGCCCTATACAGCCCCCTGCAGCCCCTCTGGGACCCCCTCCCTGACTGCTGGCACCCCTTGACCTGCAGGTGCACCCCCCTACACCTTCTTCTCCCTACAGGACACGCGCTGGTACCCCTGCCCTCCTGGGCCCCTGCCCTCAGCCCTTCTCGTGGCCCCGTCCATCCTATCCAGTGGAGCCGTGGGTTTGTAATGGTGGGAAAGATGACACAGAACTGGAAGAGCTTGTCACAGCAGAGGCAGGGCGAGCCATGACAGAGAGCAAGGTGCTGTAGTAAAACAAACCGAACTGCAGGAAGTCAGAAGCCGAGCACGGAGGGACAGTTTGCCAGGAAGCCCAAAGCGGGCAAGCCGGCATAAGCCTAGGCTGTGTGCAAGGTTCAAGAGCAGGAAGGCTGAGTCCCTGAGCACCGATGGGCTGGCAATGGTGAGAGTGGGCTGGCGGGAGGTGAGCGGCTCTGGGACTCCGGCTGCTCTGCTGCCTCTGAGCCAGGGACGATGACGCCAGCCAGGTCTCAGGGCCGTCCGCAGGACAAGGGGCCAGGTGGCCGGGGCGGGGTGTGTCAGGACACTGAACCCAGTCTGCGAGAGTCTAGAGAAAGGCTTGGAAAAGGACCTGGTGGTTTCCTTCCTCGTTGGCTTTTTCTGAAAACATTTACTGGCTCAGATGATCACAGGACAGCCGCAGCACTCACTCACCGCCCCCTTCACGTGGTCAGGCACCTCGTGAAACTCTTTACAGACCCCTAGTATCTCACTTAATCCTCATACCCATCTCAGGAGGTCTTATCGCCACCTTCCTTCT